GACGTCGACGGCCTGAAACTGGCTGGCTGTTTATCTGGCTCTAACTTGGCATCGAACGCAATTAGGGGATTATCGTATCATGTTTCAAGACGGGTATATCTAGATAAAGTTCGACGTGAACCAGGCTAAAGTCTTCAGATAAATAAAATATATGCCTTGAGTGCGAGATGGTTGCTCAAAATCGCAAGTACAGCTGTGGAACTACGTAACTAGGCAACATTTTTGTAGCAACTAATAGGCCTAACCACGGAAGTTTGTAGTAAAATTGAGGTGTCTGATATCAAGCTTAGCTCTTTAACGAAAAGTTCCCTTAGATACAAATTCTTCATATAGCTGACTAGGCAGCAACTTAACAGAGGATGAAGTCTAAAAGTGTCTGTGGCGAATCGTACCTGCTTTTACACTTACTATATTTACTATAAGTTGACTTACCGAATCTTCCGCACATGACAATAAAGGCCACACAGAAATAGACAAAGTTTGACATAGTTAATAACAGATAGAGATTTCGTTTAGAGTGAAGACGTTTCAAAGAATAATAATGTAATATACGAACTGACTCGATTAGTATTTTGTACTATTGTATGCATTCTGTCCTTTATATATTTTATACTTCATATTTGTTATTCCATACGTGATTTTTAAATAAAGAATTGATTTATAAATTATTAAACGCCTCGAACGGCGCTACTAGGGAATATATAAAATTTGCTCTTGACAGATTATAGATTAATCTATCTCCGAAGAAAACATGGGATGAGAAACACGTACCAAAACACAAAATATGATTTTATCACATGAGATGTAAATTCGATTTTTGAAACATTACTATCTAAGATTTTTTTGTTATATTTAAATTTGTTTTGCAGTTTGCATCAACTCATTTTTATTTTATTTTTAACTCTGGAAATTTGTATTTTATTTGAAATTCTTTGTCTAATTTTTTTTTTTTTTTTTTTTTTTTTTTTTTTTTTTTAGATAGGGCCCAATCGACAATGGCATTTGTGGTGTTTCTGTTTGTTATGTCATTAAAGGAAGGTTTCCTACATTAAACGAAAGGTGGCGGAATTTCTATTTTTATGTCAGGTGAAATAGTTCATTCATTGATATCTTTACAATCATCTAATCTTTTTGTGTCTACTGCCCCCACGGGGGCTGTGTAACATTTTTATCAGCCGATTCTGCCTAAGTGATCAGTTTCGGTGACAAATAAAATGACTTTTATCATCTTACTTGTAAGTTGTGAGAGTATAATGAAATTTAGTAGGTCTTTTAGCTACTGATAATCACCCTTCACTAAGGCAGATGCAGGTGCAGAAGTGCGATAGCACCCCGCCCCCAAAATCGTATTGAGAAAAATAATTGTTGGATTATATTGCTGATATGAACTATTGGTAAGACTTTTAGGTATTTGAATGCAATTTCCGTCCACCCATAAGTCAATATTTTCCCACCTCAGCCACAACCATGGTGGTACATCCTACCGTAAATGCTCGAATAAACGCCGCGGCGCTTACAATTTTTGAAGGCTTCAGTACGGCGCTTATTCGAGAGCGGCACTTATTAAAAAAATATTGGTCATCATCGTAAATAAACGTTTATAAAGAATGTTTGTCTTTGTGTTATTTATTCATTTTATAACACTGTATACATTGTATTTTAAAACCCTGTTTCTCAAAGTGCTTTATTACACATAGGGTAACTCTCGATTAAGCACCGCGGCGCTTATTCGAGAGCAGCGCTTAAAGAAAAAAAAATCATGTTTGGTGCGGCGCTTATTCGAGAACAGCGCTTATTCGAGCATTTACAGTATAGGGAATTTATATCGAAAATACAGTAGCTTGATTTGGAGTAACATGCTCCTCTCCTTTTATTTTCTTCACTCTTTTTTTTTTCTTTTGGAGCCCTATGATTGGATAGTCAAAATTATGTAAAAGATGATTGAAAAAGCGCCGCACCAAACCTGATTTTTTTTCCGCGCTTAATCAAGAGTATGTGTGTAATGAAACACTTTGAGAAACAGGGATTTTAAAATAAATAAAAAACACAATCAAGACACAAGCATTTATTTATAAATATTATTTACGTAGACGTAGGACCTATGAGAGGCCAACTGAACTACTGTACGGGAAAAAGTGAGATAGGCATCATGGGAAGAGGCATGGAAAGTGCCACGCCAACATTATATTTATAAGCTCCGCCTCTGGAATAGGTGCCGCTCTTGAATAAGCGCCGCACTGAAGCCTCCAAAAATAAGTGCCTATATCAGTGGTGGGCATTAAAAAGGGTCAGAGGGCTAAAGTGAATTTTTGATTCAACTCTGCGGGGGCCACATCCGCACGTCCAGAACCTTTATACACTGTTTTATGGCCACTTTATGCTCAGTTTTAAGCCTACTAATTCCTTTTTACAGATGATCGGTGCCGGGCTGCAAAAAACAAGGTGTTTTCTAGCCAAAAATGGTTGGCGAGCCGCATAAGGTTTGTCATTCACTTTTCCAGACCACAAACAAATCACTGTCGGGCTGCACTTTGCCCTCCTGTGGCCTATATAATATAAAATAGTAACTGAAGCCTGGAATATCGGTAATTTAGAAGCAAATTAATATTTTTTGTTACATTAAAAAGTAGGCTATATATTTAGAGATCCGCATCATGTTTTTTTAAGTTATTCACGAAGACGGCATATAACACTCTTTGTTGCAAGTATGTGTGTGTCGAATACCAGTGTTGGAAATGGTATTGACGACAGGTGTGCAAATTGCGGCCCAATGGTGAACTTTTTGCGGCCTGTGAAAATGAATTAAAAACCCTATGTGTGCGGCCTGCCAACTATCTTTGGCTAGTAAACACCTTTCTTTTTTTTTTTTTACAGCTAGACACCAATTATCTGTAAAATGTAATATTAAAACTGAGTATAAAGTGGTACAAAAGCAGTATATGAAGGTGTTTGGAAGCACACTGGAAACATCAAAGTCTGGGTGCACCCCTCGGTGTAAAAAAAATTTACTTTGGCCTTCTCCGACCCAGTTTTATGCCCATCCCTGTGATGTGACCATGAAATCAATTGCCTGTAATTGGATTCACACTTCATCAGAAAACCAAGTGGTCCAGTTGGTTAAGCCATCTCCATTGACAGCAGTTTCCAGATCATCAACTGTGAATTCCAAGATCCACTAACTACAATACTGTACAAAGAAAGAAATTATAATAGCAGTCCATTCAAAATGTTGATGATTTAATGCTGAAGGCATCAACTAAACAAACAAAAAAAAAAACCAAACCTCTTTAAATTATTGTCTTCAATGATCTGAATTTCAATGTTGGTACACAACCATTTTCTATGAATGTACCTTAAGAATTAAATACTTCAATGACAATGACCTTCATTTAAAAAATAACTAAATATTAATATCAAAACTCATTATGATTAGTAAATAAATTTATGTATTAACATGATAATGAGACCATCAGCATCTGAAGAAATGCAAGCCAAATAATGATCTAGTAATAAATAATGTCCAGTAATAAGAGGACACAATGTTAGTTTTTGAGAAATCTTTGTTAGTAATCCAATTTTTATAAGACAACATTCGATGCATTATTAATATCATCAGGGTTCCCTCTTATTTTGATACCACATTCTTTAATTATTTGGTTCTTCCTTTTCTCATTCTAATGCAAAACATTTTCTGGTATTGATATTATAAACGGGTAATAAATGGAGGCATTTTAAAAGCAAATACCTTAACCACTAAGTTATAGCTCCACCCCCTGTCTGGTAATACTGTAAAATAAATGTCTAGGTCTGTCTATGAGAAGTTACTGTAAGTGGTTACAAATAAGAGAATGGCGAATCCTATTCTAAACTGTTAGATATATATTTTTAGCCTTCCCAAATAAAATATTTCTAGGTTTATGAAGTGACAAAAAAATTATACTGTATATATATTTTATAAATATAATTATCAGTGTAATAATACAAGTATTTTTGTTTTAGGAATTTCCAAACAAAAATATAATTTTTTTTTTCTCAACTTCGATCTATTCATATCACTAAATTACTTCATTGCAATGACAACAGAATAATTGGGATATTCTGAATCACAAAAGAAACCTTAAATTTACATGGGATAGTGCTGTTACATTTGCTCTAGAAATATACAATAATTGCACATCATTCCTTATTAAAACAATCCTGCCTAAACCTTTTACAGTGAGGTACTATATCATTCAAATTGGTGTCGGTTAAGTTGTTTTAGTGCATCATTGACACACCTACACAGAATCACTTTCAATTTCCTTCTGTACAGTAAACTGAGCTTTGGAGTTCTTACCATGCATTTCACTTGAATATCACCATCAAGTAACAACGTTTCTACCATAAAGAGTAGGACACACTGTACCTGTACCATATGATTATTTCTGTGGTAGAATTGACAGCAAAATACTGTACAGTACTTTACTGTTTAAATAAATTATTGATCTACCGCAGTACCATGCAAACCAGTATACAAAATAATCCTGTATGTTGTTTTCATAAATAATATTGAAATTCACACAATGATGCAATGCTGCCCTGGTTGGGTACTACAGTACAGTATATTCCAAACCATATTGAATCCATTAACCAATAAATAATATGGTAAATTGTCATTTTTAGATACAGAATTCTGAATGAATTCAGCAATGAAAAACAATCAGCATGTGAACCTCCAACTACTACACTATATACCTGCCAACTTACATGTAGTGTCTGATGCGCAAGAAAAGAAGGTATATAGCACCCTCTATGTAAGAATCACGAAAAGTAGCACAATCTGTTTTATTTTAAATTGTAATGGAACTGCATTAGATTACAGTCGTTGGTCGGTATAGCTTCGTCAAAAAAAATTGTATAGCCTGTATTCATGTTTTACTGAAAAATTCATTTCATTTTTATGAATTTTAGGGTATAATTGGCCTATAAATTTTATCTTTTATAAACATTTTTATGATGTGAGGGATTATTACATAGGCACGTGACGAATAAAGTGGATGCTTATGCGCAAGACTCGCACATTTTTAGTGAAAGTTGGCAGGTGTACAACTATGAGACAACCAATTAGCAGAGCATTACTGTACAATCATTAACGTAAATATAACAACCAGTTTCAGTGCACAACCAGCATACAGGATTTTGAAAAGAGTACAGTGCACTAGAGCTGCCAGATGAACCTGGCCATAACTGGGTCAGTATAATTTTTGATCTAAATGATTTGTTTTCAGTCATGTTCACATACTGGTTAGTTTCGACCATAATACTTCCTGTTAACAGCCTTGAAAATATTTATGCTGTCAAAAAAATTGTATTCTACTATTGCTGGGGGACAGTCAGAAATTTGCTTATCGGTAGTAGAATACTGGTGCACACCCAGTAAAAGTAGTACCAGTGCACAGTACACTTAGAAGCTAATATTTGTGGCCAGATTACACTATGCACATCATGTAGAGTATGTCAATGCAAATATTTCTATGTCATAAAATTACATTCACTTCAAATTACTGTATAAAGCTCTGTACACACAAAATCAAATTTTCTTTGACAAAAAATAGTTGTATGCCCATATATAGTCATGATATGGCTATATATGGTCATGATGTGATGTCATCATGACCATATATAGGCATGTCACATGGACAAAGCTTAAAATGCATGATTCTAATTGTTATCCAAAAACCGAAAGGTCCACTGATTAATCTCAGATAAGAAAGTATAATACATACTCCAAGTATTGAAATACACGCCATCGTGTTGGGATTCAATATTTCGACATTAATTATGTCGAAATTTCAATACTTGGAGTATGTATTATACTTTCTAATTGTTATCTTAATGCGCTTCAATAAAAGCTTCAAGCCTGCATGGTATATGACCTCTGTATGGGATGTTATGTTGTATGATGATTTTTGCTGATAAACACTTTAATGTAATATAATTCATTGGGCATATATCACATGCTCCCTTTACAAGCTCAAGAGCAGTTTTGTTGTCAGAATTGCAGCTATCAATATGCGAGCCAGATTCTATCAGAAATGTCATCACTTCGCAGTTATCCTTCAAGCATGTGGCTGCAATGTGGAGAGGAGTATTCCTGTTGATGTCGATTGCATTCGCATCTGCACCACAGTCAATCAGGAGAGATACAACATTCTTATCTGGAAAACAACAGACAGGGTAGCGTCCAACAGCAGATGTTTCTTTATCAACAGCTAGGTGTAATGGTGTGTAACCATGCATCCCCCTGGGGTGAAGTTTCAACAACTTATAAGTTGCACGTTTGATAATCTGTGCGTGGTCTGGTGTGCAATCCAACTTGGCAACAAGATTCATAAGATGCATTAATATCTGTAAACATCGGTTAAAATTCAACATGTCTTTTTCTTGTAATGGCATAGGTTTACTAAGGGACATAGCACGTTCAATTTCTGCTACCCCTTTCAGATAAACAGTCTTCATATCAACAAAAGATAAATTACTATAGACTCTTTGACCATTACGTTCTGACATCATGTATGAGAAGAGTTCTGCAAATGACAACAAACTGCTTTGGGTCATTGGGTTAAGTGGTTCAAGCACTCGTTGCTGCATATCAAGTGCATACATCCACAATTGTATACAGCGATCGAAGTTTCCAGAATCTGCATAAACTGCACCGCGGTATCGTATATAATAAGTGGTATCAGGATGGGCTGGGCCTAAGATGCGTTCTCGGATTAGTAGTGCTTGCATTCGCATGACATCGACATCAGATACAATGTTTTCAAGCTCCTCTGCACTCTCAGCTTCAACTGCATATTCGTAAGCTGGTATAAGCTCTGCTGGTTTAGACTTTCGTACAACTTTTCTTGGGTCTTTGTAACGTTCCTCCATTGCACGATTCCAGTACTTCAAAGCTTGTAAGACATCACGTTTTTTATCGATATATGTTGCTCCCATCAACTCCAATGCATTTATCTTCTCATGCTTACAAATTTCATACCGCAGAACAAGGAAATCAACTATGTTACGATGTCCTGCGACCGCAGCTGCCAAAAGAGGGGTCATGTTGTATGCATCCTTTTCCATCTTTGCATGGTATCTAAGAAAAAGAAGTTTCATTATTTCTAAGCTTCCAGACTCTGCACAGTCATGTAGGGCTGTATTACCCTTTACACTCTTGCGATCGACATTTGCGCCCAGCTCCAGTAGATATTTTGCAATTTTAAAGTGACCTTTGTAACAAGAAATCATTAGGCATGTGTGCCCATGACGATTGGCAACCTCGATATCTGCCTTGTGTTGCACTAGATATTTTACAATATCATAATGTCCATCAAAACAGGCTGCACGTAAGGGGGTTGAGTTTGAGAATGTCGTATGATTAACATTTGCTCCATGTTTTATGAGTGACTGGACAATGTTAAAATGGCCAGCTGCAGCAGCACACCATAATGGTGGGGCACCATCTACAGTTTCACCATCAAACGTCACTGATCCGACCTGCTCATAATCAGCAACACATTTTTCAATAAAGTAATTCACAATTTCTAGATGACCATGGCGACAGGCCATAAGCAATGGTGTAGTACTTTCGGTTACTGTTGACACTATGTATTTTACTTCCTCCCTTGACAGCGAATCCAAAACATCTTTGAGCTTGTTTAACTTTCCTTCTCGGGCGGACTGGAAAACAACACTTTTAAACACCTTTAAATGTTCGGGATTTTCTATAACAGAAATAGATTTATTCTTGGGCATTTCTCGTACCTGAATCAGCCGTTTGATAGGCATATTGAATTGCTTTATATAAAATAATTAATACATCTTTTGTCTTCTTTTTTATGATCAACTGTCGTCATCTAACGAAATTCCGTGGCTACTGTTGAGGATACTGACCGAGGCTAGGGAATTTATAAGCAATCGCTTCCAAACATGAAAAACAGACAATTAAAATGACACTAAAATTGATAGTAATTATAAATTTATTTACTATATTTTATTTTTACAAGTGTAATATCAACAGATATGTAATTTTCTTCGTCTGTAAATGAAAAAAAATATTAAAAATATAGTAGTCAGTTTATAAATACGACTGGACAAACCGTAAAAGAAGTCTAACTTTCAAAACAAACAGGTATCAATAGAGGGCGAATAGTCAACAGAGCGGTGAAATTAAATTTTTAAAATGTTTTCGAAAGTCTGTTCATAATATTATTTATTAGTCTAAAACAAGTCGCTGATGCAAAAGTAAGTAGTATTCAATTTAAAAACAAATCATGATAACTTATTTTCAAACGCCAATGAATTAATTGTTATACTAGGGTAGCCTGGCTGGCTTCTCTCTATGTAGGCCTAACTGTTGTTGCCATCGTTTCCTGCTCGTCCCCCAGCGTCGTTTCGGCCCGTACGGTGCAGGTAGTGAAGTTAGGCCTAGGCCTATCACGTAGATCCAATTTTTGGGCTTCTTTTAGAATTAAAAAAGTAACTTATACACCTTACTTACACCCAATCTATATATACGTACTTGCTTTTACATTTTTTTTTTGTGCAATTTTTATAAATGAAGTTTCGGAATATTATAGGCCTAGCTAGAGGCCTATATTTATA